ACATATTTTCCATTATCTCTGCTAATGGAAAACTCAAGGAAGCAGTTGCGGCAATGCCAGCAGGGCTGAGAAGTCCCTTAGTGATCACTTTCTCTTGTTAGTGTTGGTGGTAAGTGGAAATATAAATACACACCAAAACATGGTTCAGGACAAGTTAACGCCTGCTAAACTGGGAACACCAATTTTTCACCTGTTTAGAAAAAAATATAATTTTTTATTGCCCCATATGTATTTTCATCTTAAAATAAGTATGTCTTTTATGTGAGTAAATGAAAGAAAAAAGTTTTATTTCAAAGTACAAAAGCTGATCATGATCATGGAAGTTAATCCAAAGTAAGCCAAAGGTACTGGTTCTGTTATGCATTCAGAATTCATGGGCAGGAGAGAAGTGTAGCCATAAAAGGAAAAGAAATCAGAGTTACTCACCCAAAGCATGGAACAAAGATGAGGAGCCAGGGAAACTCAGAAGCCCTCGTACTCCTGATGGCTCTGTTCAAAGGCCCCATGATGCTTTTCCTCCTGTCCGTCATCCGCCCCCTCCTTCAGCTGAGGACACCTGTTCATTGTTGGAGTTTCCTGTTCCTACCACCATCCCTTTAAGAGAGTAGGGGAAAGAACTGGTTTATGCATATCTGGGGGCTAAGGTATGTTTTTGGGAGAGGGGAGTTTCTCACAGCATATCCCAACCATGGGCCAAAGCATGAAGCATGGTGCCTTCTGGGAATATACACAGTCCCCCACCTCACCTTTTGTATCATTGATGCACTTACAGAAGTCCCTTCACTCCGGAGGTCTGCCACTTGCTCCGGTCATCTGACCTCTACTCCAGTGGTGCTCTTGCACTTCGTCCGTAGCTTTCTTATCTCGTCTCCTACCTCACCATCTTCTGAGCCTGTTTCCCCCAATCATCTCCTTAGGCCACCAACTTCACCACAAAGTTCCATACCATGTCCTTGGTTCCCAATGTACTAAGAAGTTAGAAGCCATCTCCTAGATCAGTGGTTCTCAACCTTCCTAATGCCGCGACCCTTCAATACAGTTCCTCATGTTGTGGTGACCCCCAATTTCATTGTTACAAATTGAAGATAATTAAAGCATAGTGATTAATCACAAAAACAATATGTAATTATATATGTGTTTTCCGATGGTCTTAGGCGACCCCTGTGAAAGGGTCGTTTGACCCCCAAAGGGGTCGCGACCCATAGGTTGAGAACCACTGTCCTAGATCTACCTAAGTTTCCTTATTATCTCTACTTACATGTTTTTTTAATCTTCATCCATCTTCTTTCTCGTGATCCTCTCTGAAAGGCTGAAGTCTCAGTCCTTTTATAGCCGAACCCCTCCACTGTGTTCCTGAACCTGTCACATATTCTCAATACCCACTCCCCACCCTGCCTTCCCAGCCACGCAGGCTCCTTGGTCTGACTCCTCCCTTTCATGATGATATTCCTGGGATGTGGTTCACTTCCTCTCCATTCACTCACATCTCCCCATCCCTCTCCCCACCACTGGGCCTGAAGTGATCTTCTCACCACTTTGTCTTAGACTTATCATCTCTGTGAACTTGGCAGCGTCAGGCGAGCTTTTTCTTTGAATCTCCTGAGACAGTGCCCTCCAGGTTCTGCTGACTCGTCTTGATTTTACTTTTTCATAATCTTTGCCATAGGTTTCCTCCATGACTTTGATTCCCTACCGCTTCCCCCAGCTTTCTGTATTTCTTCTCTTTATCCTCACTGTTATAATACCCTTTCTCTCCTGTCCCTCTTAATCCCATCCACTCCCCAAACTTGAATAATGCACAGATTTGTCTCTGTCTCCGACCTTTGTCCAGGGTCCTCGTTCTTTATTTCTAACTGCCCGTCGACAGCATGATGTGTTATCATTACTAAAACACCAACTGTCTGAAACCAGATTCACCACTCTCACCAAAACCAGTTTCTCTGCACATTTTGTCCGATTTAATAGCATCCCATTCTCTGTCACCCACAGTCATCTTTGACCATCAAATCCCATGGGGTATAGCTTTGTATTGTCTCTTGCATTTGGCCTCATCTTAGGGTGCTAAGTTAGACTTACGTTGTTATGGAGCCTATTAACTTGTCATTTAAGGGCAGGGGGACTTGTTTTGCTCATATCTGCTTGCCACTTGGTGGCCAACACAGTGCCCTTACCATAGGACAGTGGTTCTCAACCTTCTGGCCCTTTAAATACAGTTCCTCATGTTGTGACCCAACCATAACATTATTTTTGTTGCTACTTCATAACTGTAATGTTGCTGCTGTTATGAATCATAATGTAAATATCTGATATGCAGGATGGTCTTAGGCAACCCCTGTGAAAGGGTCATTCAACAGCCAAAGGGGTCGCGACCCACCGGTTGAGAACCGCTGCCATAAGAGATCCTCACTGTTTGTTGAATAAATGACTGTAAATTAAGTGTTTTAATGCTTTACTTGCATCTTGTGAGCTACTTGTCATTGAACCTATTTTCCATCATTAGTTCTCTGAATACTGTTATTCTTAATCAAGTAAGCACTAGACTACTTTCACTCCCAGACCCCCAACCATGCCACTTCTGCTCTTTTTCAGGAAGAGCAAGTAGGTGAGGATGCACAGGTCGGGAGGCATTAATCTAACCTTCCTTCTTGAGAGCCAGCTATGATGCAGAGGGTTATCATGTTTTCATGGCAATTTTAGATAACTTACATCTCCCTTTATACATAGATTTTTCTGCCTTTTTTCTTCCTTATTTTTAACAGGTTTTCGAAATGGAAACCACCACTATGACATTAGGTGCTATTGATAGTACATCAATATGATGCAGCTTGTCCCCTGCCCAGCAGAGTGTGGCTGCTCTGTGCACGGCCCTGTAATGCATATTAGTTGCACAGACATTAGGGAAGCCCTTCCCATCCGTATGTGTGTGCATGGCCCGTGGAAGTTAATAATGCCATAGATCACGTGCACAAAGAATGTGCAACATACGTCAGAACGGCGGTGAGCTCATGCAAAATGAGTATTGGCTTCTGAGAAGAGGAAAACCCGGGGAAGATTTCTGTCCTTTCAAATCTACTGTTTACAGAATTACTTGTTTCTGTGAGTCCCAGTATCCCAGGCTCACGTTCTGCTGCTGTTTATGTGTTTTTTCAATATGTGCCCCTCTCTTTGGCCACCTTATTTCCTGTGGATAACAAAAGAAGCCCTTTGGAGAAATGAGAGAGAGCAATTACACATTGCTATTCATGTTGCAGGAGTCGCACTCTGTCCTTGGGGAGTTTAACAATGAATATCCCACATTAATTGCCACAGTAACTGCGTGTCTGACCTTGCTGAAATGTAATACATCAGCTTTACATAGGAAAATTATTTGCCACCAAAAGATTTAAAAAGAATCATCATAAAATTATAGTGCTGTTTTAGAATGACTCATATTTTTGTGTGTTTAAGAAGATCTGGAGGACTCAAACGACTAGGTCGCTGCATTGTCTGAGGAGTCAGGATCCTGGGAGCTGAAATCATAATTTTATCACTGATTTGGTTGACAGTTATAACAAGATGAGTGCTCTGCTTTCCTCATGAAGGGTGAACAACATACATGGGGATCCCTGGTCGGTCTGTGGGACTCTCAGATAATAAGGCAGGCCAGACTTAGTGCCTCTTCTCCTTTGGTGAAGACAGTTCTTTATGTTTGCACTTAATTATAAGGCAGGGTTTTCTGCCAGCAGCAGAAACATGCAGGGAACCCTAGACATGTTTCCCTTTTTAAAGAAGCAACATCATTTTTAAGATAAAGCCTAGTTTACTGTCAACTTTTCTTGCTTTAATCTTTTGCTCAAATCCTCAGATATCCAGAAACTAGGTTTTCTGACTAGGTGCATTTTAAAGTTCTTTTTTCCGGGCCCTCTTACACTGATTGGCTGTCGCACATGGGAAAGATCTCACAGGACACACTCTGAGAGAGTCCATCGCTCTGGGTCCGCAGCACACTGCTGGGTCAGCAGCCAGCCCCTCCGACAGCCACGTCAGCGGCCACGCTGGCTCTGGGCTGTGGAAGCTGTGTGTGCAGAAATGACTGATTGTTCCGCCGTCTCTCCTTTTTCAGAGGGACTGAGGTGAGGAAAGTCAGGGCACTCACCCATGACATCCGAGTCTCAGCCTAGATGAGATTCTTACTAGAGATCCCTTGTTGCTTGTATTCTGGCAAAACAAGTGCATGATAAATTGGAAGGCCCATCGCAAGTCTGGGAAAAAAATGGAACTGAATGATTGAATGGGTAGCTTTAGGCCCACCTTTTAAAGCAAGGCTGTGACATGACTGAGTATAGGTATCTACCACCACTATTTAATGTGGCTTGTTCATTGTTTTTGTGTTTAAATGAGGTGTGGGGGGCGGGCACAGACAATAGTGCAGTGAAGGCCTGGGGGGAAGAAGCGGGGTGGGGGGGGGAGGGGACATCTGTAATACTTTTAGCAATAAAGATAAATTTTAAAGAATAATGTTGTAAATAACTTTCCCATTCTAAAAGCGATTGTTTAATAAGCACTAACCAGGCAAGAGGGAATGCACGTGCAGTGTGTATGTTGTATGTTGTGAAATTCTGGATTCTTTCATTCAAATTGTTCAGGTAGCTTAAAATGAAGCCAGAATCCTTATCCCCACTTTATGGGTTTTCTACCCGCTTTATTTTTTTAGCCCCTTTTCTGCCCCCACGCATAAAGGTCATCTTCTCACTTAACTCTACCTGCTGCCACAGAAGTTCCCTGAGACCCAAATGGTGACATGAAAACACTTCAAAGTACCTCTGTTTCCCTCATGCTTTCTGTGTCTGTGGAACTTGAGCCTGGACACTGTCTGAGAGGGAGATTCTTGGCCAGCCTCCTGATTTATTCTGAATCTTTAGAGAAATTATGGCACAAAGCAACCCAAGAAAATGCAGCTTTAGGGAGTTCCTTTTTAATTTTCTCTCCCGTTTTTCTTCTCCCGTCCCCGACGGAAGCAGGATGGTGAAGTGACCACAGTCCGGGAGCAGGAGCAGAACGTCCTGGTGCTGAGGAAAGTGCAGCCCGGCCAGGCCTCCCCAGGCGGGAGCGCGGACAGCGATTGGAGGTGAGTTCCCTCCGAGGCTCAGCTGGCGCTGCCGCTTCCCCTCCCTGCCTGCCTCCCTTCCCCGCTCCCCCTCGCTCCCTCCTCTGCCTCCTTCTCCTCCCCCTCCTTTTTCTCTCCGCCTCTCAGCGTTCTAGCTGACTGCAGAGCTCTCAGCAGCCAGATGGACTCAGTTCCCAGGGAAAGCCCGAGATGGCCAAGATCTCTTAGCATTTAGGGGATGCCTTTGTCAGGAGCCGGGCACAATGGGCAGCTCCCGGCTGCGGGTCCGCGACCCGCACTTGGAGAGGAAGGATGGCGCGGGGCTCTCGGACCGCCCGCTGCCCCTGCCCACCTTCGATGTGCCTTATTTCAAATACATTGACGAGGAGGACGAGGACGATGCGTGGAGCAGCCGCTCGCAGTCCTCCACTGAGGATGACTCGGTGGACTCTCTGCTCTCTGACAGATACGTGGTCGTGTCCGGGACCCCCGAGAAGATCTTGGAGCACCTTTTGAATGACTTGCACCTGGAAGAAGTCCAGGACAAAGAAACAGGTAAGACCGGGCTGTCTCCGGCTTCCAGGCTCAGCGCCGCTGCCCTTGTCAGTGTGTTTCCTTAGGAGCAACCCTCCCACTGTGGCCGCCCGGGAGGGGGCTGCTCCAGCGTCTGCTCCGTGCCCCCCCCTTTCGGCCCCGTGCCGTTTTGTTTAAATCCACTAAATGGACACATGGAGATCCGAGCAGCTGCCGGGGAGGTAGCTGTACAAAGAAGAGGATACGCAGGCAGATGTGCTTGTTTCTTGGGCAGTTTTTACCAGACCTTCCCTAAAGACGGTTGGCAAGAGGCCAGTGTTCAGGGGGAAGAAATGCAGGCGAGGGGTTAATGAGCATTCACCTGGCCTGTGGGGAGCTCTGCATTGGGGGGAGCAGCCTCCCACAGAAATGTCAACAGTTACTGCAACTGCTCAGCAACTAGAAGCTGAGCAACTTCTGCCTTTTCCCAAGCGGCTTACACGCCGCTCAGAGCACGCCCTCTCGGTCCAGAAATTATAACTCACTGAAGTCTGACTGATCGGACTCCTTGTCTTTTCTATTTAACCTGGGAGCAAAATGCCCGTTTAGCTTTCTCACCTTTGCCCTTTTGCAAACACTACTATTGCATGTACAGAAGGACTAGCCACGCTTTCTTGTTCACAGAAGGGTGAGTACTTGCTTCTCTTCACCAGATTTGTAAATAGTTCCAGCCTGGAGCAATTATTCCGATGACTAGGCCCCTGGCTATAGCCTGAATCAGGTAACTTGATCCCCTGACGGAAAGGCACTTTTTGCTGCCCCCAGAGCACCTGGGATGCCCACAGTTTGCGATCACATATTGCCTGCAGCAGGAAGAGGCAGTGTTCAGTTGTATTAGGACAAAGTAACTCCTTAGGTTTTTCCAGGCAGGAAGGGTTGTGAAATGACAGCATAGGTGGAAGCAAGAATTCACTTGGGTTCCCAGAGGTCTCTCTGAACCTACCTGATGTTTGGCTCTCTCTTGCATCACAAAGGACATTAAGAGAAACCAAGATGTGTGAAATGTGTCAGTGGGTAAGGAAAACAAAGCAAAATGACCCAATCAGGTTTCCTCCAGTATCTCAAATTTCAAATAAATATTTTATTTTGCGCAGGAATGTTTGGGCAAGAAAATCAGCAGTTGTCATTTGTACACAAACAAGCTAAAGGAAAAGTGTATTCTCCTGGCATTTGCCCGGGGGGGGGGAAGGGGGAGTTTGTGTGCCCATCAGTTAATAGTTGGTGCGCTTGAGCACGTTCCCGTGTCCCGTGTTCATCAGAGAGCACCTCCTGGAACCGGCCAGGGTTCCCATGTACTGATCACCAGACGGCCTCTCACAGGTGGTTGGGACTAGAATACGGCAGCTCCCCTGCCATGAAGAGGACACCTTTAAACGTGGGTAGAGGTTCTGGGGGCCAAGGGGCGGTAAATGCTTTCTTCTTAATAGCACCACAGTTTATTCTTTAATACAAGACTTTGTGCCCAGGTCATATTGACAAGGGTAGAAATTATGAAAGCCAATACAAGGCCTCACTTGATTTCTTTTTCTTTCTTGTTGCCATTAGTTTCCTGTGAAAATGGCCAATCACAAGTTCCCACTGTTGAACACTGGGAGTGAGAAATCACCCCGATTCCTCTTCCTAATGCCAGGAGTTGCCTCCTGTCGGGAACTGGTGTTGTGCATGGTGTCTAGTGACTGCTATCCCACTTTATCAATTACACCAACACTGGGATCAACTGTGTCACTTTAGCCACATGCTCAGAGGACTAGGTGCAGTGGTCTGACCTAAGCTGGACTAGAATACCGGCAACTCACGGAGGTGAGGTGGGGGGGGGGGCGTGAATGGGGGGGATGGAGACACCATTTGGGGTCAGCCTCTCCTCATTCCTTCTCCTTTTCTTAGAGTTTGTGGAGGACACACTTAAGATTGTTGCACAGGCACTTGATGGGGGAAATGGTAACAACTTCTCCTCCGATCAAAGGAGAATTTGATGACAATAAGAAAGTCAACTTTAGATTGATGTTCATGTAATAGAGGTGCCTATGTGGCAGTCACATACAATTCTTCAAAACTCCTTGCACAGGGCTATCAACAGAGGAGCCACCATGTGGTTTTTGTTGATAAAACTGAAAGAGATTATAAATATGAAAGAAAATTCATTTTGTGTACAAATTGAAGGAAACCGGGTATGAGTGTGTGGTCGTCTGAATGTTAAATGAACCACATATTGAAAGTAATCGAGGCTCCTTGTCACCGAGGGAGGCGAAGTCTAGTTCTTTATCTTGGCCCGGCCGGCAGTCCTCATTACAGAAGGCTCTGTGTGCAAGAGCCTGATGGAGTCACATAAACATATGGAAGGCAGATGGAGGGGAATGAGAAGGGGCTGCAATAAAAGCGTACAGCGGTGTTTTATGTTCTCCAGCGCCCCTGCTAGGGAGATGGAGCCATATGGGGCAGGGTGGAGCCATATGGCAGTCATCCGCCTGGGCCCGATGGCAATGAGGAGGAACGGGGTACCTGGGAGGAAATAAATGGTCCCAGTGGCTGCCATGAACCTGTTCTGGACCTGGCATTC